TATCTCAATCAGTCTTGCAAAAACTGAACTAATTTTTCCTTCTTAAACCAATCCCATGGCATACCTTTATCATTGTGATTAATTCCATCACCCTTCACATACTAATATTCAGTGGTTATTATCCTATAATATTTTCACATTAAGCTTCTTCTCTGTCACCAAATCCATCCTTTTCCATACCCTTTGGGATATAAGAGCCAAATTTTGGCCAGTGATATGTGATTATCAGAAGCTGGAAGAGAATAGAGGTTGGATTGCTCAAATTGTTCTGTTCATCCCTTCTGAAGCATCTGATGTGGCCCATTATCAGAAGACAGGATATAGGGCTAGATGGGCAATTAGTCTGACCCACCTTGGCCCTTATTTCTGGATTCCACTAGATTAAATACAACATAACCAAATGAAGAATTTGTCTTACAGCAGAAGAATCTTCCCTGAAAGGGAATTTTCACAAGTGGCAGTGTGTACCATGGTTGTGAGGAACAAAGGCTGTAAAAAAAAAAAAAAAGTATTTCCTTTGCACCATAACACTAGCATAATCTTCAAAAGAAAAAGTGTGTGCTGAAAAACGTGGTCCTGGTTAAATGACTGTATGTGTTAAGAACAAATGTTCCAATTAGCATTCACCTCACTGTCAACAAATTCACTACATGTACACTATTTTCTATTATATTGTCCATATATCAACTTATTTTTAGTGCACCAGAAATTAACTCAGACATATAAGTGCAGCTTGGATTTCTTCAATCATACAAATCCAGACTTTTCCTGAAGTCTTTCCCCAAGGGATAAGTGGAAACTGCCTGAATGAGGAGCAGAAAAGTTTTATTCTAAAATTCCAAAAAGAGAAAATAGGAAGTTACCCTTTGCAGTTATATAAGAAAGTAGCAAGTGAAAGAAAGGTATTAGCATAAAGAATGCCCCAAAGTCAGAACATCTACAGAAAGCAAAGTGAAAGATGATAAAAGGTAGAACGGAACATTGACTATAATACAAATACTGATTTATAATAAAGATTGCTTTGCATATTTTCTATTACAATAAATGTTACAGATGAAGGACAGAAGGGAGAATGGAACATGCCCCAATGGGAAAATGAAGGGGAAAGAAGTCAGTCTTAATTAAAATATTTTCAACACTCATATTTTTTCTAATTTTGCAGGTGCAAAAGGACAAAATATAAAGCCCGTGTTGAACCTTTGACTTGCATTATGGTAATATCAATTAACATATCCTTGATCTCACATTAAACACTTGTTGCATTTTTGTAAATGAAAACTTTTGTAATTTGACCTAAGCTTTATTAATGCCATACTAGTCTCAAGATTCAAAACCATGTAGACCAGGATATCACATCGATATCACATTGGCATGATCACTGATCTTCCTCGCTCTCTTCAATTCACACATTTATACATTATATATGCATAATTGTAGGAAAAGAGGGCAATAAAATAGTTTTGGGGAAATGTTTATTTTACATATTACTTATTGAAATGATGTAATTAGGTATGAATTTTGTATAATATAAATGAAAAGTTCCACTGGGCCGGAAACTTCTCTCATTTGGCTGTAATGTGTGCAGCACACTTAGATGGCATGAATAATTTCTCACTTGATATTTAGGTTTTTGCACATCTTATTTCAGCCCAGGCAGGAGTAATTTGTCCAGTTGTTTCACTCCCGCTTTCTAGGCAGTTCTATACATTTCATTTCAATACTGATTTGGAAGTTGGTATACACCAATAAGAACAGCCATACTGGGTCAGACCAAAGGTCCATCTAGCCCAGTAGCCTGTCTGCCAACAGTGGCCAGCACTAGGTGCCCCAGAGAGGGTGGACCGAAGACAATGCTCAAGCAATTTGTCTCCTGCCATCCTTCTCCAGCCTCTGACAAACAGAGGCCAGGGACACCATTTCTATCCCTTGGCTAATAGCCTTTTATGGACCTAACCTCCATGAAATTATCTAGATTCTCTTTAAACTCTGTTCTAATCCTAGCCTTCACAGCCTCCTCAGCCATGAAGACTGAAGCAAAGAAATCATTTAGTTTCTCCTCAATGGCTTTATCCTTGATTCTTCCTTTTATATCTCGATTATCTAGGGGACCCACAGGTTTTTTAGCAGGCTTACTGCTTCTAATGTACTTAAACATTTTGTCTGAGTTTTTGGCTATTGGTAATTTTACCAAAATTGGTAATGGTATTTTACTTGGAAAACAGATTTATGCCAACACAGAGTTCCCTTCCTTAAGAGTTGACTATTGCATTTTCACCCTACTTTCCAGTGTAGTGGTTAAGGCTTACTGATTGTCAGGTAGGATTCTTGTAGCAATGCAAATCTGAATCAGCAATCCATTTATATTCCAGGGGCTTGGAAAGCAGATACGTAAAACCACAGAAAGCTGTTTTCCCTTCATCTCCTGCTAAAAGGAAGGATACATTTAGCCACTGTCTTGGTTGGAACAAAAGGTTGAGAGAAAAATTGTTAGATAGACGAATGGATGCACGGTCCCAAAGCAGTTTGTCCTAATGTAATGCACACACAGTAATGAGACAGTGAGGAAATAAAGCCAAGGGTTAAGAATAATAGCAAAAACACTCTCCCACCTGACTGTGGTTCAATCCCAACTTTGTTTCCCAAGCCTCTGAGCTGATTTTTAAAAAATTGTGTTTTCTACAAATACGAACACCTTACAAACATCATTCCATATCTGTTTGTTCCCTCAGACGCTGACCAAATGTCTTCTTTACTGTTATCCACCACCCAATACCAAACACTGTATTGAGATGCAACGTGCAACTCTTACCTTCTTTAAATACGCAGTTTATCATCCTCAAGATTATTTTCAAAGCTCTTATTTTGAAATGGCCTATTCCCCCATTTTTATGTTGTCAGTTTTATGCTTCAATATTTTAAGAATTTTTTTTAATCTACCACTTTACGGCTGAAAGTGGCCTACATAAATTGAGTTTGTATTCAGAACAGTTTTGCATGGGAAAAAAGCGTTCACATAAAACCAGATAATACTTCCACGGGATAGCAGCCAAGTAGAGGTCACAGACAGAATAGACCTGTAGAGTCAGTAAAGTATATTGTGCAAAAAGTTTGATTTGTCATTGCTCATACTACACCATGCACAAAAATATATGGATTATTTTCAGCAGAATATTCAGATGAGACCAGGACTGAACGAAGCAGAGAAATCTAACAGTTGCTTGGCTGGTTGAAGAAACTGACATTTTAGTAAGCACTGCTGCACCCCTGAAAAAAAAAAAAAAAGGTCATGAAAAATAACCCAGCTTTTGGCTTCAGTAAGCAAAAGCTTAAAGAAAAAAAAAAGAGTGGAGATTACAACCCATAAGCAGAGCTTAAGGACAATACATTCCAAAAATTTTCAGATAAAAAGTAGTAACAAATGAGAAAAAATTGATACAATTAAAGCAGTATCAGAAGAATTGTGTCTTATTAGTTAAGTACCATGCAATTAGAAAGACAGATGAAACTCAGAATGGATTCAAAACATTGAACAAAAAGCCTCAAAGTACAAAGAAATATTGCAATGTAGTTCTACTGCAGATTAAAAAGTAAGCAATTGAAGCAGCCCTTTATTAGACTACCATAGTTACACAGGATTCTATACTGCGCTTAAGTAAACTGTACACTCTCCTAGCTCATACAACAGATACAGAAGAAACAATTGCAATTGTCCTGACACCAGAACCTCTTCATGAAGAATCATTTAAGTCTTTCTAGAAGCCACTAATTGAGCAGAGGACTGAATGAACTTTAAGTTTCTAATTACTTTCATATGCTTCAGACCACACATTCTCCCGCCATCCCTCTCAATAATTATCCCTTTTAAAAACCTGCTTTCAAAATGTAAAAAAAGGAAGAACACAGGCAAAAAGATTATAGGATCAACTCTGAATGGGTCATATTTGTCTTGTTTACCAAAATGCATTACGTTTTAACAAATTCTAATTTGAATTTTGTCAAACAACTAGAAGCATTCCACCCACGTTGGAGAAATGCAATATTAAAGCAGCAAAAGGTTTTTCATTGGTTTTACCATATGGAAATGTTGATGGCTATAAGCATTGAATATTGTGAATTGGTTCACAAAGCAGTATGGGCATCATTTTGAAGACTTCTGAGCCAAACATATGTTAAGCCATTGTAAAATGACTAAGGCACAATAAGAAGGGTAGAAACACTGAGTATGTAGAAAAGTAGTCTGATGTATAATTCAAAATCCTGTTAAATCATCACATGTAAAATAGTAAATCATTTTCTTTCCACTTTTACAGAGCCACTGAAGCTGTAGCACTCTCACTGAATAAGGATAAATAAACTAGCTTCTTCCTTAAGGCTCAAATGGCAAGAAACTGAAAAAAAGTAACAGATACAATATTTCTACATTAAGACATGTACAAAATCTATTTTCAAATCAATTCCAGCAGGACCAGCAGGCATGACAAATTAAAACATACATTTTAATTTTTCTAATCTTAAACTGCCAAAGTCTGCAGCATTGTTTTTTTCCCAAATGGCACTAGAATAATGTATCTCAGTGATCTATATTATATTTTTCCTGAAAAGTTTAGCTTGTTTGTATGGGTAGCGCATTATTTGAAGAGGAAAAAATGTATTGTGGTAATAAAAAGTAGGCTTAAGCCAGTAATTTGGTTTAAGTTCAAGAAACCAGAGTGCTGTATTGTATTTTATAGGTTGCATAGTGCCAAACTGAAAAAGCCACCTAATTTTATTCTAGTTTTTGAAAACCAGTGCAAGTAAAACCCACATTTCCTATTTCAACATTTGTTGAGATTCAATGTAAAAGGATTTTAACATAGTTTCCCTGAAATGTTTTAAAACACACGGAGCTCTGTTTAGAATAATGTTCCGTATTCCCACAGTCACACTTGATTCTTCTTTACGTAATAGTAAATTATCTGAGCAGTTTACATCCACAATATTTTAATAAAACAACCACACTGTGACAAGAATGAGACTTTAATCAGTTTTAAGTGGAGTTTTAACACTAAGAGATAAAGGGTTGTTAAACACAATAACAAACGGACATCTGATTTGTATGAGGCATTATCCTGTACATGTCATATTTTGTTGTTTTCGTGTATCCTCAGTGCATAGCATTACACACAGAGCCACTGTTGCACAGCACAATAGTATCTGAAGAGGCTGAATCAGAGTAAGGCTGCTTGACAGACTCTTTTTTTAATATATATATATAATATATACTCTATATGAAAACAGACTTAAAATTTGAACTGGCAGAGTAAAAGACAGCTCTGTCAAACTGCAGTTAAAGCCCCCTTTTAGCGCTCAGTTCCACCCCTCCCATCTGCATGCATGACATTTTTTAAACAGTATTTAAAGGTAAACGAGGCACTTTGTGGCAACCACAGGCATCGTTAACATATTGCACAAATTTGCTCTAACTAAACATGGAACTTGCACACTGGCACCCTATTTTTATTTTTTAAAGCTGAAACTGATGCTGTATGTAAACTCCACTTTAGTTTACAAATTGTGCCACAGCAAAGAATCTTGATGCTATTTATATAACTGCCCTTTAATAACTGTGGCAAAATATTTCAAGTGGGACTACAGATGACTAGGGATGGTACAGGCCTAAGAGTAAGCTCTTATGAAAGTGATGCCTTCAAGTAATTTCAGACATGTAAGCTGCTGCACATCCAAGAGTTTAAGCATATAGTGCAGAAACTCAAAGAGATTACCTACCGAATGCATTTCAAGCTAATTATGAATACTGTCATAAATAAAGTTTTAATAAGGACTCGAAAACCTTTCAGTCATAGTAATTCTTGTCAAGTTCTATGGGGATGGTAACTGAAATAAAGTATAGGAGAAAATGTATAATATATATTTATATATATAATATATATAATGCCATTTTTCCATTTCCAATGACTACACCATAAAATGTAAGCAAGGCTTCTCAAAAACACTGAAACATTCATAATCAAAACCCTCATTCAGACCTTCACATTCCAAAGGAAAAAACAACAACAGTGCAAAAGCCCCTTATAATGTCATTATTTCCGTTCTGGCCATCAGTGTTACATACTGGAGCCACACAAATTAAATTTTGATATGAGCCCAAAAGTGGGACATAGAACAACGTTAATATCAAAATATTTTAAAGAATGAATGTTAGCCAACATGACTTTCAATTGCTAAAAGCAGACGTCAGGTGAAACATGTATCTAGTGTCTGGTCTTAAGGTAGCCATTGCCTGCTGCTCAATTCAACAATGGGAATTGTGAGTGCCTAGACCAATATGCTTGATTTGGTAAGACCGTCAACACTAAATTAACTAATAAATCAGAAAATCATACACTAGCTTTGTTAGAAATTTAGATGATGAATTGGACAAGCAAAACTGACCAATAAATAGTGAAAAAGCAAATGATACCTTTATTTTACCAAAGTTTAGGTGAAGTCTTGCCTTGTCTTTTTAGGATTCATATTCTCCAGTAATTCTGTTTTACTGAGCCCTAGTGATCTCAAATTCATGTGTTAACTAGGTAAGAACACAACTAATAAACTATGTCAGCATCAGTAAGTTAAAGTTGGGCTTTACATCTTCAAGTGTAAAGTTTGGGGTAAATAATCCAAGAGTTTGAAGGTCATGGTGTATTTTGTAGTAAACAAATTTAAAAAAAAAAACATTTCTTCATAACTGTATTCAACAGTAGTCGTACTGTTTAGATCACCTGCAGTCTGACATGTCAATCATAATATTCAAAAGTGAAGCTCAATCCCTAGTTCTGACTATATCCCTATGAAGGAATGATACTATGCTGCCAGTTTAAATATCTAATTCTTTTAAAAGCAAACAAAGAAAATATGGGACAAGTTCTACTTTAAAAAAAGTACACATCTTTGTATCTGTGCAGTGTTGAGATTTTATTGCAAGACTGGTTTCATTTGTAATATGTATAATGTTGCTTTTATAACATTGTAGATACTAAGTATTCAAGTAAAATTCCCTAACAGTTAATGACATTTTTTAAAAAGTGTGCAAAACTGCAAAAATCATTGTAATGAATGTTAAGGTCCAAGGGGTGGAACAGCTAACAACTGTTTGATTGAATGCATCTTCAAAATAAACACTAACCTGTAGAATCTCAAACTGAAATTTCCCGTGCACCGTTATAAAATATTTTATATTTAATAAGGAAAAAGCTTGCAATGCAGCACATGAAGCATTCACAGCTAGTATATGATTGAAAAATTAATAAAGTGTAAGATGTTGACTGATGTATGTACTAATAGCATCTGACTTTCATCACTGGCCTTGATTACACAGGAGATGGAACAGCCATTACAATTGAGAAAAAACATTTAATAAATCATTGTCTTTTTAGAACAATTGTTTCAAGCCCATTTTAGGTTGATAGCCTCCACATTTGTATGGTTAAGTCATTGTTGCTGTGTTTCTTATCTGTGACCCCATTATTTTAATATCCCTTCATTTGTGGGTCTTTAAGGTGTTGTGGAAGGTTCATTCCTGTACCCCTATATGGAATCACTCCCTCTAGCTGCCTTTTCTAGCACCATTATGCTTAAAAAATAAAATGCACAAACAACAAGCAGTGACAGCAGCCGATTCCTCAAATGTCCTGGATTAATTACTGCAGCATGCTAAAGAAAGGTGCATGTAAGTAGCCGGATACGGTACATTGTCCAGGGTCCAGCACAGTATATTCCTTTCAGAGCATTTCTTTTCATTCCTCTATCCAGAATACATGCATTAGAATGTAGTACAACCCTTTAGAAACTTCTTAGTCAACTGCAGACTTATCTATTGCCACTTAAGTGCAAATAAAGGGGCAGGATGTGAACCTGTATATCAGAAAGCTCCTCCCCCCACCCCTCCCAAACTGCGGTTGATGACAGAACACAAAAGGAAAAATTCCTACGCATACACATCAGATCTGTCTCCACTTTTATAAAACTGGAATAAAATGGGAAAGTGCCATCTTTATATTTCCTAATTGAAATTTTAATGTCCTTTTGACACAAAAAGGTATATACATAACATAGCTACGTAACCTTTTTCAACTGGACAAGTGTCAAACCCTGTAGATTTATAGGGCAAAATAAGATTGGTCAGGAAAGAATTGTTCCTATAATTGGTAATCTGACACAATGTTCTATTGCCATTTGAAAAGGTCCTTTTTCAGTTTATTCAAGTTTGTCTCTTTGTGGTTTTTTTTCCCAGATAAAAAAAATATTCAGACTTTTGTAATCTGCGTATGCTGATCTTCATCAAAAGGTTCATTCTCTGGATCAGAGTCAGTGGTGTCAGAATATCTATAATGATCAGGTTCATTGTCACTAACATCCGGTGTTACTGAAGCAGAACTGCTAGCCTCTGGATTTGATGGCTCCTCTACTGTTTTTGTGAAAAATAGCTTCACCTAGGGAAGGAAGAAAACAAGAAGTTAACAGTCTGAACTTTTCTTACTTTTAAGTAATGGAGACAATACAGGCCAAGCCTACCCTTGGAAGGCTTTGCTTATATAGCTATATTGGTAAAGGTTTACTAGTATGGACACTGTTTACACCAGACAGCTTATTTCATCTCAGCTGTGTGACTGTATCAGCAAACACACAGTATTTCTAAATGGCAAGAATTTGTAGTATACTTGTAACAGTTGTTAGCTTAAGAGATTGCCAAATCACACAGGTTCTTTAAAATCACTGTATCATCAAAATTGGTTTAGAAACTCTAACTACATATAATCTTAAAACATTAAATTTTTGGCATACAAAACTCGAAGTTCCAAATCTAAAACACCTACACATTTTTAGTAGCACAAATGGCAGGAGTTGTTAACTTACCTCAACAAACAAGTACCTTTGGAACGGACCTTCAAGAGCCACCCCCATCATCATAAGCATTCAGAAACACCCAATTATAATTACTATTATGCCCTTTGGTGGCACTATTACTCAGTACTAACTATCTTTTTTGCTTTACCCATCTTTATACAATATAAAGTCAGTTGGTGTTAAATACAGTTAAAACAGATGGATATTAAAGTGATATTTCCCAACAGCAGAAGCATCTACAGCTTAAAGTAATATTATGGCTAGAGAGGTAGTATATAGGAATGGCACCACCTTCCCCAAACACAGTCCCCATACAGATTCTGCTATGTCAGCTTAAAGTCAGTTATCTGTTTCATAGCTGGTATTCTTCCAGAGGTATGGCTCATGTCAATTCCACATTAGATGTGTGAGTGTTCACCACATGCACAAGTGCCAGAAGTTTCCCCCTTAGCAGTATCACTAAGGGACCTGACTCTCGGTCCTCTGGAGTGACAGACACATGGAGTGGTATAAGGAGTAGCACTGGCTCCCATCCATCCTCAGTTCTTCCTTGTTGGAAACTGACAGTGAAGGAGCATGGGTTGTGGAATGGATGTCAACACCACATTTCAAACACCAGTTATGAAACAGGTAACTGTCTTCTCTTTCAGTGCTTGCTTATTCCATTCCTTATTAGGTGACTAAGCAATAACCATGGAGGTGGGTAGGAGTTCATGGTTGCACAGACAGAAGCACAACTCTGCCAAACCTAGTGTGGTTTCTAGCCTGCTGAGCTATGGTGTAACAAGATGTGGTCATATGGATCAAGAACCACACAGACTCTACTTAAGTCCTGGATAGAGAGGTGTACCAGGAAGACTAATAAAGATGCCTGCACTCTATTTGAATGGGCTCTGACCAATTGATGGCAATGAGACCTTTGCAAGATCATTACAGGAGTTTATGCAAGAGGTGATTCAGTTGGAAATCCTCTGAAGAAACTAGAAGGCCCTTCATCCTCTCTGCTGTACCCATGAAGAACTGGGCTGATTTATGGAAAGGCCCTATACACTACAAGTAAAAAGCCTGGGCTCTCTGGGCATTCAGAACTTGGAATGCCAGATGGAACCACAGCTATACAGTTTTTTTTATAAAAATAAGGTATGATGGTTCTGAGGTCAAAGCCTTAATCTCACAGACCTAGATCTGTCATGCTGATAACAGCCACCAAGAAAAACTACCTTCCAGGACAGGTGGGAAAGGGAGCAGGTGGTTTGAAGGGTAGAGCAGGCCAATTAGTTGGGAGAGGTCCACATTAAGATTCCACCACAGGACAGGGAGGGGCCTGCACTTACAGGTAAAGTCTCTCAAGGCCTCTGAGGAACCTGACCATCATGTCATAGGAAAACAGTGTAAACCTGAACTGGCTCTTGGAAAGGAGAAGTTGGCCACAAGGTAAACTCTGACATAATGCTCTATACCAGAGTGGCCTACCAATTAGACACTAAGAGCAGAAAGAGCTGTGGATAGTAGCGCAAAGAGCCACACATCCCTCCCACAGCCAGGCACCCCCAGCCCCCTCCCATTCTAACCTAAGGCCTGGGTCTCACTGGAGATGCCACCACCACAGCCACACACTTTTCCTTCCAGGAATCGGGGCACGTGCACAAAGTGGGCATTCGGCTCTGGACGAGCCATAACCCTGAGAGCCGCATTTCTGTGAGCAAAGAGCCGAATGCGGCTCAAGAGCCACAGGTTGGCCACCCCTGCTCTAGACCTTGGTTCTGGAGGTGTATCAGGCAAGCCTAGATGGACTGCAGAGAAGAATGCAAGGGGGAAATGCTGCATTTGGACATGCAATGGGATAACCACCGAGTCAGGTAGGATACTCTAGTGAATGGCCTCCTACTTCCCAAGAGGACTTGCTGGACCACCTCAGAGCATATGCGTTCCTCTGGGTTTAGCCATGGTGCAAACATGCCAACAAGTGGAGAGATTTGAGGCTGGGGTACAGGAGATGATTATGCTCTTGCAACAGCAGGCCCAGTAGGTTGGTAAGAGGCCAAAGGCCATTGACAGTCTCATCAGCATGTTGAACCAATGCTGGCAAGGCTTCACTGGGCTGATCATGACCAGGCTTTGTTCCTGGGGGAACACATACATCAGATCACCTGATCATAGCAGGAGAAAGGCACTGAGAAGAGGGAGCCCTTGTCAAGGCCTCACCAGGAGCAAAACTGATGCCACCTTGCCAGGTGATGAGCAGGCCTATTTGAGGCATCTCCCACCTCTGGGGAGAACATTCAGGCCACCTCTGGGTGCAGCAACCACTCGTGGTGAGAGGAAAAGGCGTATGTGCACACCACCTCGCGACAAAGTAGACAGGCACAGAGAATGCAGAGACTTCCGCAATGAGGTCTACAGGGCTTGAAATCCATCCAGCACAGAAATGCCCTTCTGATAAATGTTATCCTTTAAACAGGAGCTAACGTGGACTTGTTGTCACTGATTAGGAGTCACAGGGAGTGGATGTGGCTTGCAGGACTGTGGCATTGGGCTGGACTTATGTCCTGGAGAGCAGTCTTTGACAAACCAGTCATCGAGGTAAAGGTAGATCTGTTCATCTCAATGCCTGAGAGAGGCCACTATGACCGCAATATATTTGATAAACACCCTGGATGCTATAGCCAGGCCAAACAGAATGACTACAAACTGGTAATAGACGGGACCCATTGTAAGCCTAATGAAACATCTGAGAGCTGGAAAGATTGCCACATGGAAGCTAATGGAGGCTAGGGAGACTAAAAGAGTTTGAGCTTCCTTAGGCACCTGTTGAAGTCTTGCAGATCCAGGATGGAATGCAGACCATTCTTGGCCTTCGGGATTAGAAAATCTTGTGAATAGAACCCCCTACTCCGACACACTAATGTAACTTCCTCCACCACTTTGAGCCAAGTTGGGAGGAAAAAGGAGAGGTAGTTGCCAAACGGGGAAGCTGGATCTATGGAACAGTCTGGTATGTCCCCTTTGGGTCAACCCTTAAAATGATTTTTTTCTTCTGGTTTAGAGCGGGTCAAGCCCAACTGGAGCTGATAGCCCCCTGCTTTTTTTTTTTGGCCGGAAATATATAACCCTCCAGTGACAGCTATATACAACCAAAAAACTGTATTTGCAGAGAATGAGCAGAAAAACAAGTCTGGTCAAAGCCACAGCATTTCTGTGTACCCTTTCTAGTGGCAAAAAGGAACTTGGGGGGGGGGGGGGGAGGGGGGGGGGGCCCAGACACTGTTCATTACACCATGCCATGCAGGCAACACTCCTGAGGTTATTAGGGCTGGGTTCCCTACAAATACTGTTGAAGGAAAAACTTCCAGTACCAATACATGTGGCGAAAACTAACATTTAATGTGGAATGGACATGAGCAAGCCCTCGAAGAAGAACAAGGTGTTGTTTAGCGTTGTGGTAAAAATTCTCAGGTAAATTGTCTTTAATACATTTTGAGTGGTTTACACTTGGGAACTGAAATAAATTTACTTGACTTAGTTTAGGACATGTAGTTTTGTATATGCATTAACCATATGCATTCTGAATCACTGCAGTTAGTCATTCTTTAAAACTCTTCTTACCCTTTTCAGTTGCAATATGTCCTGAGTTTCAAATAGCTCCAAGAGTAATAAACACATGATGACTTTACTAAAAGCAAGCAACTCCAAACAAGATCTGGTACCCACTGGGGACCTCCTTCCCACCCCTATATTTTTCACATTCCTTCCTTTGTGGGTCTTTGCAGAATGCATAGGTGGGAACAAAAGTTTCATAAGCAAGGTAGAGTACCACAGATTCTTGGAACCATAAATGTCTCTAGTGGAGACAAGGACTTAAAAACACAACCTTAGGAGTTTATACCCCATTGAGGTGAACAGAATCAGATTATGGAACAAATGCAGAGACACGAAGCACCGCATATGCAATCCAGCACACCAGAGAACACCACTCAAATATTTAGGATAGAACTCATGGATCTACTTGTCAGCCCCATGAACAGGCAATACAAGAAACAAAAAGACTATTTCCCTGAGGTATCCTACTTTCTGCTAGACTGAATCCGTGAAGTTTGAGTGTTATAATTTTTCCGATCATGACCACATTTATAATTTATGCGGTATAAGTTTACCAAAGAAACTTCAGAATTACTCTTGAAAAAAATCTACCACTTTCTTTTGCAATAATTCCAGTATGAGTTATTGAATTCATAAAAAGAGATAAGCTTCAGCAATGAAACATCCAGATGTTACCTGCCTCAGTCTAGAAAGTTACGTAACAAATGGCTCCTAGAGAAACATGTTTTGATAACATTAAATAACTTATTGTATGCTCTTTAAAATTAAAATATACTGACCTTAAAGTTTGGAGAAAAATATCTGTTGGCTTTGTCTTTATTTGCCTTGTCTAGATCATTTTTTGTTAATGTAAGGATTAGGTATTCCTTGTCATTATCTGAGCGTTCTGTGCTGAAAATACCATCAAGTTCCTGATCGCCAACTAGACTTCCATTTTCTACTTTGTCTGAATTTTCATCCAGTCCTATGAAGAATGTATTTACCCAAAAGTGAAACATTTTTTCCTGTAGGAAAAAAAAGCAAGCTTGCTTTAGTGTTTACAGATGGTATATTATCTTCTTTGAATACAAGTATCTCTATTCTTTTTTAAAACGTATGTGTTTAACAATACCAAACTAACATAGGCATAAAAATCTACATAATGCTACATGATTGGTACATCAAATATGTCAGGAAATTTAAATGTTTGGGATGTCCAGTTATATTTGCCAGCATTTCTACTAAGGACATGAAGGACTATTCGACAAGTTGCTTCCCCCCCTCCTTGCTATCTATCAGGAGAGAGAAGGGGTATTTCAAAACAGCAGCACTGCTTGGAGCCTGGGGCCAGACCCTGGCTCCACGTGGTGCTGTCACGTTGAAATGCTGCAGGGAGCAGCACCACGTGGAGCCTGGCATCAGATGGGGACTCCCCCGTTGATCCTGAGCTCCATGGTGCACTGCTGCTTTGAAACACGCCTGGCGTCAGCCTCCTCACGGAGTTTCAAGGTGGCAATGCTGCGTCGAGCCCAGGATCAGTGGGGGGATTCCCCAGCTAACCCGAGCTCCACACAGCACTTTCGCATTTGAAGTGTAGCAGCCTTAGGGCTGTTACTACACTTCAAAGGCAGAGGCACCCTATCGACTAATTGAATAGTAAACACAAAATGCATCAGCTATTCGATTAGTCAATTAGTCGATATTTAACATTCCTAATTTTTACTGATCAAAACAAGGCAGAAACATTTTCTCTTGAGTATTCCAAATTATTTGCCTGTGACAATAAGCAAGGACTAATTATCAGCTACAAAAAAGTACAAACCAGTTCATCTTGCATGACAGTGTTCCAGTGTGCGCACACATTTACATCTGTGTGTATATTTAATCCAAGTCTCAGATTTATTTATACAGCAACTGATATTACATACAATTAGTAAGTACCAATAATATACACTCTTGATTTTAACTAGAGGTGTTGTGGGATGCTATTGCATATTTCAGTCCTCTCCTCCGCCCCCCAACTCCTGGACAAGCAGCAATAAAGGTGTTTTTAACTTTGCTGGGTTGAGCCACTAATGAAAGTGAAGTTACTATTAAATTTAACCTTTATGGCCCCTTAACATATTGAAAGTATAGACACAGCTATATTAGATTGCTTGTCCCCCTTAAATTAATCATGATACATTTCCTTCTTGAATCTCCTCTGACAAAATTCAAAATGGATTTTACCACCTTCACAGCAAAATCAACAATCGAATGTTCAATGGTGTAGAATAGGGATTGGATTCCTTCTGAACAAATGCAAGCATATAGATAGATAAAATATATTTGCATTAGTGCTCATGTAACATGAAGGAATCGGATATACTTTTAACAAAAGAAAAAAAAAAGCCCAACCCTTCCAGACCATACTACAGTGCTGATGATTTGGGTTAGCACGTTGGGGGTAGCACGGAAACTATGGTGGAACTACACCAACTCAGTATTTCTTAAGCTGCAGGAATACTTCACTAGCTGGCACTGCTTCCTCTGGGATAGCTCTGTGTCTGTGAAGCAATACAAAATTTCCTTAGAGCAAAAAATCTTTTATTTCTGTTTTTCTGGTAAAAATTTTAGTGCATTACTGTTTGTGTTACAGAGAGTAATAAAACAGACTCTTGGTCAAACCTTGGTTTCTGCATTCCTTGGCTTTGTATTTCATTGCTGCAACTATTCCTTCACCATTTTACATATATATATACACACACACACACACACACACACACAGCTTCCCCTGCAGGTGTGGCTTTGTATTTCATTGCTGCAACTATTCCTTCACCATTTTACATATATATATATACACACACACACACACACACACACACACACACAGC